GTCCAACTAGGTAATGTCGCATCTTCTGAACTGCGAATACCAAGGCGAGACATTCTTTTTCGACTGGATTGTACCGGTGTTCGGCTCCCATCATAGTCCTGCTTAAATAGTAGATGGCCTGCTCCTGCCCTTGATCGTTATTCTGTGCTAACAAAGCACCAAGAGAGTGTTCCATGGCTCTTACATACAACAGGAATGGTTTCCCTGATATTGGAGCCACGAGAACAGGCGGTTGAGTAAGATACTCCTTAATTTCCTTGAATGCTTTTTGGCATTCTCCATCCCAAACAAAGGATATTCCTTTCTTCATGAGCTTAGAGAAAGGTTGGCAACGCCCTGAAAGATTTGATATAAATCTTCGAATGTAGGCCAATCTGCCTTGCAAACCTCTGAGCTCTTTGAGATTCTTTAGAGGTGGCATGTCTTGGATGGCACGCACTTTCTCTGGATCAAGAGAAATTCCCTTGGATATGACAATAAATCCCAGGAATTTCCCACTTGAAACTCCCAGAAATGATTTTGTCGGATTCATCTTCAACTGATGTGCTCGCATGATTTCGAACATTGTCCTCAGATCTGCAAGATGATCGTCTTTACATTGACTCTTTACTGCTATATCATCAACGTAGCACTCAATCTTCTTTCGGAGGTGTTCGTGAAAGATCGTGTTCATTGCACGTTGATAAGTTGCACCTGCATTTTTCAATCCGAAGGGCATCACTGTATAGCAATACACCCCCAGTGGTGTTCTAAAAGCAGTGTGTTTTTCGTCATCCGGGTGCATCTTGATCTGATTGTACCCGGAGAATCCATCCATAAAAGACATCCTTTCATATCCGCAAGTATTGTCGATCATGACATCAGTGATGGGAAGAGGAAACTCGTCTTTTGGACAGGCTGCGTTAAGATCGCAGAAATCAATGCATATCCGGACCTTACCATTTTTCTTGGGAACTGGAACAATGTTGGCCACCCAATCAGGATGTTGTTCTTCCCTAACAAAACCCGAGTTTATAAGCTTTTTAACTTCTAACTCAATTGATTCCATGATCTCTGGACGAAACCGACGCTGTTGTTGTTTAACGGGTTTGACATCCGGATCGATGTTGAGACGGTGCATGGCCACCTTCGGGTCAAGGCCAGGCATATCTTCATAATTCCAAGCGAAGACATCTATATATTCTTGGATGAGAGACATAAGGTCTTCCCTCTTGGATAATGATAGGTCTTCTGCTATAAAGATAGGCTTGGGGTCAGACTCATCTCCCATGTTGACCTGAATCACCTTATCTTCAGTGGGTGGTTCGCGTTGTTCGAAGCGCATATCCCACAGAATGTTAAGACGTTTGATCCAAGGATCGTTGGTCGACTCAATTAACTCTTCGTCACCCCCTGCATCTTCATCGGGGTGACTGGTTGAAGCCATGTTCACAGTCAAACTTTTAAAGAAAGGTCCAACACTGACGTCGGATTCCCAGGAAGAGGTTCCGGACGAATGATCCTGACGCAGATAATTACTGATTTCATTTTCTGAGGCAGGAGGAGTTGTGACATAACCTAAACCACTTCTGGTTTTGTGGTAATAATCCTGAGGTTTTCCTTCAGGGGCTAGAGACATTCGGACTGGGGTTCGTCTGCCTTTCCCGAAGTTCAGACCCTGTTTTTCATTAAAATTATACCCCATTCGTTTCATCAATTGGATGGAATTGGGTTCGTGATAATGAAACTGAGGAACTCCGTCATCTTCCTCTGAACTTCCTCGCTTAAGTTGTTCGGGTTTGACTCTACCGAACTGGATCGGCTTCTGCCCTTTCCTTTTGGACGGGACTTTGTAGAAAGCCTTTTGTGCGTCTTCCACCTCTTCATCGGAAGCGAAGGATGACTTGATTGGGAGTGTTAGACATGCCTCTGTACATAATGCGTGCCATGAGTGGGTACCTGCATCATGATCATTTACTATTTGTCCAACTTTAATGGGTTCATCAGACAAGTACGCCAAAATAAAATCTTCATTAATGCACCACTCGCCCTCACTCGGTACATTGTTATTGTTCTTGACTGACCCAATTACATCAAAGTTTAACTCCCACGGACAATTCCCTTCTAGATCTGGTTCGACATCTGCCTCATTACCGCTATCCACGTCTTCTTCTTGTGATTCTGAGTAGAAAACGGAATCAGTATGAAAGTTCTCCACTCCTCGGAAAGGGTATTTTTCTGCAATCAGGGTTCGAACTTCGCCCTCGTTATTGGCGTATTTCATGACTTGATGCAGAGTAGATGGGACAATGCGGTTTGCATGTATCCACGGTCGTCCCAGCAAAAGATTGTAGGATGTGTCCGCATCTATGATGTAGCATGCTACTTCAGACTTAAGATCTCCGATCTGACATCTGAGCTTGATCTTTCCCAGGGGTCGGGTGCTATTTGCATTGAACCCGAAGATAGTAGTCTGGGTGGTGTGCAGCCGATGCATAGGAATCCCTAAAACCTGCATGACCCTATAGGGCATGATGCTGAGTGCGGAGCCCGGGTCAACCTGGACACGACTGATTTCGAAAGATCTGATATACCCCGTATAGTACAAAGGCCTGTCGTGTTCATGTTTAACCTGCATATCTTCTTGAGTAAACGATATACAGGGTAAACTTCTTGCAGTTTGCAGACATTGCCGACAAGTCTGGTCTCCAGAAGTTTCAGGAATTGGAGCGACTTGGGTGATGAAGCTCTCGGTGTTCTTTAAGGCTTCAATCAGGGCTTCTTTGGTAGTTTTGGACAACCTCAGGAGCTCGTATAGAGTGATTCTGGCCGGTATGTTGGCCAACTGTGCCATGACATTGAATTGGAAGGGAGTGCTGGACTCCCCATGTTCCGGGTGGAGATTTCTGTTGAAACGGAGTTCTTTTTGTTTCCCTTTATCAGCCGGCTTTTTCGGGACAGAACCCCCAGCGTCTTGGGGCTGTTCCTCAACTTCTTGAACATTCTGGCCGTAGTCTTTCAAGTAAGTCTTTCCAGACCGAGTGCCAGGGTTATCCCCCGGGTATGCTGCCAGGACTATCCTCTCCTCTTCTGAATCTGTAAGGGTCTTGAGGTGGTCATCGTTCTCAGTAACGGAGGGGCTAATCATGTTGGAAGACTTAGCCTTGCTCCCCTTCTTCTTAGACGAGGTATTCGTCCACTGTTAGTCACCCACTAGATCAGGATGGACCCACATGATTTCTCCTTGGGAGGTTGTGAGGGGTGCCAACCCCCTGTCCTTCTGATTGTGTAAGTCGGTGTTTTTCAGGTGCATCTCTCCTTTATGGACAGGAATGACCCCATCTACAGCAGCTACAGGGGGAAAGTCACCGAACTGGACCACAATCAGGTTAGTGGATACAGTCTTCTGCTCCGGCTTCAGAGTAAGTACATTAGCATTCACCAAATTTTGCAAGATGTCCTTGAACACATAGCATTTTCTGGTAGGATGTCCCAAGAACCTGTGATAGCGACAGTAATTGGGGTCATCTATCTTCCCTGCTTCATCTGGTTTTCTGATTTCAGGGAGCTGTAATTTATTGTTCTTCCGAAGTAGTTGGAACAGAGTATCCACATGCTCTTCTTTGAACGAATACTGCTTGGGTGCTCTTTGCTGATTGGGCGTCTTGCCTTGCTTAGTGGGCAGTGGTACTTGCGTGTAGTCAGCTGCTAGAGTCTCTTTTCCCTTAGCCCGCTGGGCATTGTTCTGATTACGTTGTTGCTGCGGTTTGGGTTGTGGCTCTTCTTCAGCTTTGACCCG